CCCTTTGGTGCCTACAGAGAATGAAAATAACAATCTCTCATCTTTTTCCTTGGAACAGCTATTAAATATGTCGAGAGAACTGAGCGAGCTGAAGAAAAATCTTAAGGATGCTACTGCTGCAATTGCAGCTGAGCCTCTGACGGAATCTGAGCCCACGTTCAATTCTACAGAAGCAGCTATTCAGTCCATGCTGGAGTGTTTGAAAAACAATGAACTTGTTAAAGCTGTCCGACAAATCAGAGAGTGCAGGCAGGTTTTGCTCCATGGCTCATGTTAGCTTTTTGTGTTATTAGAGAAGTATGCATTTATTATCTTCCTAATTTATAGCAAATGTAATGTGCTGAGTCAGCATTGATTTAATGGGTTTCAACAAGGTACATGGAGGCATTGGTTTTACTAACTTTTGCAGGGGTGTATCACGAGTAATGATAGCAAATCAGTAATACATATGCTTGAAACAAGATGTTTAATTACATTGCATGGATAGAAATTACTTCTCTGAGGCTCTTAGGAATCTCTTTGTAGAGCTAATTCCTTACAGGTGTGTGTCCCTGGCATCATTCAGCCTAGTTTCACTTTCACTTATTTGAGTGAGTTTTCTTAAGCTTTTTTTTTTTTTTTTTTAGATTATAGGAATTGTGGTTTTATGTGGTTTCAGTGCCTGGTACCAGAATAACAAATGAGTGGTGTGAAACACTGAGTTGCTTTTGGCTTGTAAGCATGTGCAAGCCAGTTCTCCTTTCAGCAGTCTCTCTCACCTAGTTTCCATCTGTGCTAATAAACCCACAATGATATGAACATTCTTTTCCTGTTTCTGTGCAGGATTTTGTGGCCCAATGATATCTTTGGAAGTAGCTCTGACGATGAAGTCCAGACACTACTGAACATTTACTTCCGGCACCAAACCTTGGGTCAGACAGGCACCTATGCACTGGTGGGCTCCAACCAGAGCCTGACTGAAATCTGTACCAAATTAATGGAGCTGAACATAGAAATCCGCGACATGATTCGCAGAGCTCAGAGTTACCGGGTCATCAATACTTTTCTTCCAGACTCCAGCGTTTCTGGCACAAGTCTCTGACAGGACCCTCCTGTCCTCTCTCAAGCCAGGAGTGCTGCCCTGTTGGAGTGAGGTGGCTCAATGTCTTCTCAGCCTTACAAAGGTTTGGTCAAACTGTACCCACTCTTGTTACATTTAGGATTTCTTCTAAAAAGATATGGGCTGAACTTCAAATGTGTAGCAATACTTTAAGGACAAAGGTAGCATAGAGCATCTGGGACAACATCCTTTGTTCTCTGTTGCACAGCAACCAGTTAGCATTTCACTGAGCAACTGCAACTCACTACTGAAGAAGTGACTTCCATTGCATACCAAAGCCTACTACACTGAACAATACTTGCTTTAGAGCAAATTAATTTTAGGTTGGCAAAAGTGCAATGTTTCCTTCACAAAATAATATTTTTTTGTTAAAAAAAAAAAACACAACAAAACAAACTTGTACATTTTTTCCTTTTTTCTCTTATTTGGTTGAGTGGAAAGATGGGCAGAATGAAGCTGGCCACAGAAGCTTGCAAACTGGTTGGTCAAAAGCTGAGAGCCTGTGTATATGAAACATATTGTAAATGGACTACAGTTTAATATACACTGTAATTTGAAGATGATTACTGTATCTTAAAACAACGAGCTGCTATGAAGTACATTTCCTAATGTTACTAGGCTACTGTCTCTGAAGGTACTGGATCATATTGCAGAGGTCTGTTCTTAGGCCCCCAAGCCTCATGAATGGTCTTGGTAGATTATTTTCTTTTTTTGGTTTGTTTTTTTTAAAGGACCTTGGCTGCTTTTTACTAGAGGGTTGCTTTTATGAATATATTTATACTATTAAAGGATGGTTGATCTAATTTAACTTGCCATTTTGTAGGAGAAAGTCCCATCACAGAGTCAAATCTTTTGAACTGTTATGCATGCATATTTTTATTTAATATAAATTTTGAGTATAAAAAGTTAAAATATTAACGTGAAATGCAAGTTCTCATGTTAAGTTTCTTTAAAGAGATGTCTTATTTTATTTGTAATGTATATATAAAAGTCATACCTAAAAGGTTTTTTTCTTACATTTAACTTCTGTCCAGTGTTAAATGTATGCATGTAAATCTGTTGCACATCTGAGACACTTTTATTCTGGAAACTATGTAACTTATTCACTACTGTTTTTGTGAAGTAACTTCGGTTGATATTTGGATCAGTACATCCACTTAACTAAAATATAAAAGTTATATATAATCACAACAGAGTTTGTGCATGTTGTGAAGACTGTGTTCTTGTCTGGACCTATACTGTTGTGGACAGTATCCATGACCAGCAGCCCCCCAAAGACAGCTCTTTCATCGTTTATGATGAAAATGTTCATTACACTATAAGAATCCAGTGAGAAATGTAACGGTTCCTTAGTCTGTAGTTACAGCTCAACCAGGAAGAGAACATTGACTGAAAGTTTCATAACTGAAAAAAATCCTTCAGCTGAAGGTTTGTTTCTGTTAAAAACATCAGCAATGGTCCTGTTCCTGCACTGGGTTTCAGTCAAGTTTTTTTCCTCATGCTGAAGGTAAAAGAAAAGCTGTCCAGCCTGCCATGTTAGCCTCAGCTCTGGGATCCAGTAAAGCCCCCTTCCCTTCACCACTTTTTCATTTGCAAAATGCTCACACAATTTTACATGGATCTTGAAAAAATACTCATATTGATGCATAAAAGGGGTTCAATCAACATCTTTTACAGGTTTTTGGATTTTGCAGTTCACAGGGCTCTGCAGTGCAGTTATTGCAGGACAAAACAGATGCAAGGCAAATTGCACAGCTCTGAGTAAAATAAGCCACAATGGTTAGAGAAGTCTTCCTGTTTCAGTTAGGTATTTTACTTTGAAAAGCTATTCAGATCTGTAATTGGGACTGTCTGCAAAAAATGTTAGTGGTTGGTGAAAGTTGAGAACTGCTCTATCTACTAATGGATATTTTACAGATCACAGAATCTCAGGAAAACTCCAGTTGGAAGGGACCCAAGGAGGTAGTCTAGTCCAACCCCCACTTTGAAGCAGGGTCAGCCATGAGATCAGATCAGGTTATTCAGGCTTTCATCCAGTTGGGTCTTGAAAACTTTCAAGGATGGAGAGAGTGCACAGCCTCCCTGGACAACCTGTTCTGCTTGACTGCTCTCATGTTGGAAAAGCTTTTTCTTTATCCAGTCTGATTTTATCCAGTCCAATCTATCTTGTTTTATCTTCTGCATGTTGTTACTTATCTCCCCACCATGAACCTCACTGAAGGGCCTGACTCCATTGCTCCTCAGTAACCATAACCTGGCAGGCTGCTCTTTGGCCCCCCTGAAGTCTTTACTTCTTCAGACCAAGTAAGCCCAGTTCCTTCAGTGTCTCCTCACAGAGCAAGTGCTTCAGCCCTGTGAACAGATTGGTGTCCTCAGCTGAACTCCTTATAGTTGATAAACATCTTTCTCATATAGAGCCCAAAACTGGACACAGTCATCTAGATGTGGTCTAGTGAGTGCTGAGTAAAGGGGGACAATTGCTTCCTCTGTTCTGCTGGCTCGGTTTCTGTTCACGCAGCCCAGGATGTTCTTGCTGCCAGGGCCCAACTGCTGGCTCCACTCCCAGCTCACTGCCAACCAAAGCCCAAGGGCACTTCCTGATGAGCTGCCCCATCCCAGCCAGGCAGCCCCTTGTTACTGCAAAGGGTTCTTCCCATCTCTCCAGGGGTAGGAATTTCCTCTTGTCCCAGCTGAGTATCACAAGGCTCCTGTTGGCCCATTCCCTCCTATCAGCTGAGATCCTTCCAAATGGCAGCACTGCTCTCAGCTGTATTAGCTGATCCCTCCAGTTTGGTGGCACTTGCAAACTAGACAAGCACAATCTATTGCCTCTTCCAGGGCACTGGTAGAGGCATTGAACAGGACAGGTCCCAGGACAGACCAGCAGCTGTATACCACATTACTGTCCTACAGGTAGAGAGCCCAAGTTGCCTTGAGCAACTTAACTGGTCCTCTATCAAGTAGAAAAACCTCCAGAAGTTCCTTCCACCCTTAAGTATTCTAGAATTCTTGCCAGATACAACAAAACCCATGATGCAACCATGTAGCTTGCTGGGCATAATTTTTAAGCTTCAGGTAGAGTACAAATCACTGTATTCCCAACAAAGCCTCCCTGTAGTCCTAAAACAACATGAACTTCAGTAATAACATACCATGTTTCAACACCACCAGGACTTTCATCAGGATGCCCTTGCCTGCATTTTGTCTCCATGGAAGCACATGCAGTTAATCCTTTCAGTTATATTTAAGCCACCTACCCTGGAGATATCTTACATGACTGGAAAGCCACTGAAGCGTAAGCCTTTATTTGAATCAGGGGCACACAGATTTGGTCCAATTCTTTTGGGACGCAATTGAAGTCTAGATAATTTATTACACTCCTTCACCAGTACCCCAGCTCAAAAAGTTATTCCCTTCTTCACCTGGAGAACATTTGACACTTCCCTCATATCTTACAGTCTTTGATTATCAGACTGCTGTGATGTTTTTATACATTTGACAGAGGCAGTGGGAAGAGACACTTGCAGAGAAGATGCATTTACCCCAGACTTCATGCTCCAGAACACCTGTATCTTCAACATTAGTTGAGTTTAAGTGACTGAAGGAAAAGTTTGCTATCACAGTTTTAATCTCAGCATTCCCTAGAGGCAGACTAAAAATACATCTCTAGTAAACAGTACATACCATTTCCTTCTAGATACACTTTTCTCTTTCATTCCATCAAGATGAAACCAAAACTTGTCCTTATGTTTATTAACATCATACATACAATGAAGTTACATGCTTTATAAATAATACAAAAGTCTTTATCCATTATCCAATGCCAGGTCAAAAGCCTAAAGTCAGAACATTGCAAGAGACTGACAAAGTGCAAAGAGCAGAACAGGAGAGGGCACACAGATCAGACAATGTATTTGAAGCTGTAAGTGTTGTCACAGGACAGCTTCTTGCCTTTGCAGCGGCCACAAAGCTCCTGGCGATGAGGCCTCTTGAGATCAATGTGTCTTTTCTTCTGAGGGCAGGAACAACGAGTTTTTGAACAGGTCTTAAGAAAAAAGGCATTGTATTAGTAGCAGATCAAAGGTGCCTATTTCATGTTAGACTGACATTTAATTCTCCTTAATCATAGCAACCCATTTGGGTGATACCTTAAAATCACTTTTGTGGTCAAAATCCTGTGGAATTAAGCTGGAAGAGCCTTCTCACCTAGAAGCACAGAACTCTGTCTAGCATGTATTTAGGCATAAGGCTGTATGAACAGAAAGCTGTCTGTGTGTGCCACCTGCAGGAGAAGGGAGACCTATCCCCTTACACCCTTCCCAAATAACATTCCCTAGTACTTTGATAGGGAAGCAAGTTCTCTTTCAGGCAGTCAGTCGAATTCAGCAACTGTAGGGTGTTAGAGTATATGACAAACTCTGGCAGTGTAACCGGGATCTGTAACTTACCTGGCACTGGATTGCTTCCACTCGATAGGGATTGAAGCCCTTCTGGCATTTGCGACAGAGCTGCTTGAAGTACACCTGAAAAAAAAAGCAAGTTCTCAGTTACTACAGAGGCTTACTCAGTGTGTTCAGTACAGGTACCAAAATCTGTGTCAAAACATCTGACCCGTCACAGAGTCGGTGCCACTCTCGGAAGTTTCAGAAGCAAGAAACTGCTTGAGAACTACCTTGTTGCTTCCAGAGATGCACCACACGTAAGCGCTCTCCCATCGGGTCTTGCAGTCTTTGCAGTGGAAGTAGCCGTACTTCTGCTCCAAAAACTGCGGAGAAAGGGCTCAGTGAGCAGCGCCCAGCCCCGCCACAGCACCCGCCCAGCCCAGCCCCCTCCTCACGCCCACTATTCCCACAGGCAGGAGGCTCCGAGGGAGCCAGGGCCCTCGGGACACTGACCTGCGGCCCGGCCGGGGAGCACCGCTGTGTGTTTTGCCGCTCAAGAGGAGATTCCCCCGGCCGGGCTCACGGTCCCCAGGCCACCCCTGCCCAGCGGTGTC